CCTGCACAGCATGCCAACACGACACACTGTGGAGTCCTTGCGCCTCATCTTCCACACTGATCCCCCCACCTTCGTGAATGGGCAGTTTAGGGGTCTTAAGGCGACCCTAACACAAGCTAAACCTCATAACCCCAAGACCTAAACCCGAAACTACTTAAAAGGAAAAAAACCCGAAACTAAACCTTACGAGCCTAAACCGTAAACCCTAGCCTAAACTAAACCCTAAGACCCTAAGCCCTAAGCCGCATATCCTAAGATACCTGCACCGACTTGCCAGCCAGAGCCATGTCACGGATGCGCGCAGAATCGTCGCTGCGATGCCATTGTCCGGGAAGGCCGGGTAAGTGACAGGGGGCTAGACGGCGTTCTTTTGGAGTGTTTAGGGTTTATGGTTCAGGGGTTCTGTGTTTGTTTCGATGAGAGTATATGTTCCGCCCCAACGAACTCACGAAGATCAGCGCCTCCAGCATCGAAACGTCGATCGTATCCATAGCCCTTGACCCGATCCTTGGTTTTTGCGCGGAGGTCACTGGGCCCCAAACTTTTCATCCTCAACCGCAAACGCTAAATCCATGACCGTCGAAATCCCAACCCAAAGCCCTGAACTCTGAACCCAAACTCTAAACCCAAAGAAAGCCCTGAGCTCTTCGTTCCGAAGCTTCGAACGCCTTCCTTTCAGGACTGCTTGACGCTTGGCAGCCAGAGGTCCCGGTCAGGATAGGACTTATGCATATGGGTAGTTCTCTAAATTCGTGTCCCTTTTTAGGTCCCCTTTTTCCTACGGCAGCCTATGAAAAGGACCCTAAAAGGGACCCTAATTTAGAGAACAGGTTTAGGATTGAGGATGTTACGCGAGGGGTTAGACGGCCAATCTATAGGGGTTTGGGAGCTTATTGTTACGGTTGATGATATAAATTCTGTATTATCCATGATAAGGAATATGCCATCATTCCCCCAGTTTTAGGTCCCTAAACTCTAAACCCGCAACCATAATTCCCATGGTTTAGGGTCCTTTCGTAATGCAGGGGTGATATCATCAACCGTATGCGTAGAGACGCTGATTTAGGGATCTTGGGGTTTCGGTTTGCGTGAGGGCTCTAAGTCGTACGTCGTAGGTAGTAAGGTTTAGGGTTTACAAGGTTTATAGGGCTTACAAGGTTTAGGGTTTATAAGGTGTAGGGTTTATAGGGTTTAGGGTTTGGGTTTCTTATAATCTTTGGTCCGGTGAGCATTGCTGTCGACTTCAGGATATGGTGAAGCCCCTGTAGCCCCAGGCTCTCTCAGCTAGCGAGTCCCTTTTCAATGCGAATAAAATGTGCAACCGTCATGAGACCGTACATGCAATTAAAATGGCATAAGACCGGATTTATACAAGGCCATAGCGCTAAACTCTGTACCTGAGAGTTTGCGTTGGAAGCACTAAACCTCCGCTCAAGCATAACAACAAATCAAGGAACTTTCTCTTCATGGGGGCCAGCACGGCCCTCATCGGCCATGGTGCGCTCTCCAGGCAGTTTTTTGTTCGGGGTTTACCTGGCTTTATACTCAAAGGTTCCTTAGCACCTCTGATACTTACCCAAACCATCATAGTAAGTCCGTGCACAGAAGCCCTACTTTCGCGATATACGGTACTTAGGGCCCTTTGGGACGGGTGTCATAGGTCTATGGATGAAGGGGTTAAGGGTTCACAGGGTCGATTACGGAGCCCACCTCCAAGTCTTCATAAGACCTGCAGCAGCCTTATGCAGAACCTGCGAACCTTAGCCCCACGCCCTGAAGCCCTAAACCCAAAAAAGCCTCCATTACAGTAAAAGCTTGTCAACGCCTCGCAAGAACCGTTTTTTCAAATGCTGTGAGACAAACAGCCGGCAGAGCAGGCTTTGGGACAAACCCAACATCCTCGAACCCCAGAGATTTATAAGAGTCCGCTGTCCCTAGAGCCCTGCATGGAGGCCGAATAGCGCGCTTGTGTCCGGAACTGTTAGCGTTGTCAGAGTCGTCTTCCCCAAGCGTCGAAAATCCGACACGTCCGAGGCCCGACAACCGTCGTGAGAACCCTGTATAAACAATCCTAAAAGCCCCAAACCCCAAACCCTGAACCCATGTAACAACCCCACAAGCCCTAAGCCCCCAAAATGGCCAACCCCAAACCTTGAACCCTGTAACAACCCTGAAAGCGCTCCCAAGAAGGCCTGGTGATATGCCCGGCGGGGAGATCCGGCTTCACCCCTTTCTGATGGGCCCGGGCCACGGCTTAAGCGTTGAAAGGGGCTCGTTAATGATTCCATAAGTTTAGGGTTTAAGGCATGTGGTTGTGGATTTAGGACGATGATCTCAGAAAATGTTTAAGGCTCCGGTGACGTTTTGCATTCAGTCGCCTCATGTCAGGGATATGCCTATGCTTTTGTGTAGGTGCCAATTGGATCTATATACATGCGTCATGTATGCGTTTGTATACAAGTATTTGTACATTGCAGGTGTATGCGGTTGTCCGTCTGTCTGCCTGCCTGCCTTTCTGCCTGTTTGCCTGCCTTCCTGGCTGTCTGTTCGTCTGTCCGTCTGCCTGGCTTTCTGTCTGTCTGTCTGTCTGTCTGTCTGTATGTCTGTACGTATGTATGTATGTATGTATGTACGTAAGTGCGTGTATGTGTGCGTGTGTGTGGGCACAATGACGTAAGTTGACCTCATGCATATGTTTCAACGCGTTGCTTAAGTATTCTCTCTGTTCTCAGTAGTTATGTAGTCACTCCCTTGTTGCGGTGTCTTCGAGCAAACTCTCGTGTTTACAAAGCATGTGCACACCACTTCGCTCGAATGCATGTCCATCTAATTTCAAGCGCCTACGCTCATGCCTATATGCATGAGGCAAAAGGCTCAGGAACCGGGAGCTTAACAATGAATAGGAAACTATTTTTGGATGCGTATATTATATTAGTTGTAGTAGGATATTAGAGACCTCGAGGGGATGCTATTACCAATCATTCCGATGTCTATGTCACTCGGGCACTCGCAAGGCAGCTCACCTGAATGGAGAGATACGTGCAGTGCATACCCTTTAAGCCATGAGGCCAGTAATTAGTGCAGGGGCTTGAGGAGTCTTCCTCAAGATCACTAATACAAAAATATGACCCGAAACTTTAGTCCATAGAATAATATGACCCAAAACCCTATTGCATAGAATAATATGACCCAAAACCCTACTCCGATTGTTAAGGCTCCTACATTAGCTTCAGAAACCCAGCAGCTCTGGCCATGTCCAACGTTCTGCGGCTAAAGCAGAAGTAATGCCTACACAGGACCTAGGGAAGCGGTAGTTCTGCAACCATGGGTTGAAGCATGCATACAGGTGTGGTTCTCCAAATCAGGGTCTCTGTTGGGTTGCCAATCTAGAGGGTCCCCCAAAAGCCATGAATTTGACAATTACCCACATGGAGAGACCATGCATATGCACCCCAGTTTGCCACAACAGTGTTGCTAGCGGATGTAGCATGGCTGTTCTATGGCCAGATAGGCAAATCGTTCAGCATGGGGTCACTCGTCGTCAGACTAGTCAAGTCTGAAGCTCTGCAGGCCGAAACCCCCCAAATCTATGGCTTCTACGGTTTCAGCAGAGGGGACAGTAAAGGTGACATGCAAGACCCTGAACCCAGACCTCCCTCAAACTTGCAAGCAACAAGCCCTGCCGGACGATGGTACGAGCAGGCCTGGCATTTGCGTTGATGATCAGCCTGGGGTTTTGGATGTACAACTACGAGGAGCGGCCTCTTTGGGGCTTCGATTGTTGGGGAGCGGGCCGCCCGATGCAAACAGGTCTAGGGGAGAAGTTTCCTTATGAAAGCTGCGATGCTCAAATTCCAAATCCCGGAATGCCACGTCCGATTTTCCTCCATCCTGAAGGGTTGATTGGACAGTACGCCCTAGGCCCTAAACACGGCGCGAGGATCTGCCAGGGGAGTGGATCGACACCCGTGAGTCGAGAAGGAAAATTCATGCCTTCTGCCTCCTGGTCCGATGGTTGAGAGTTTTCAGGGGCACATCGAGCTCAGGCTTATGGATTGGGTGGTCGGTCGGTGCGGCAGGGTTTAGGGCTTTATAGTGCAGTGTAGAGTTTGAGGTGGTTTATCTTGTTTGTTCAGGGATGAGTGTGGGGATTTTTAGAAGTTTGAGTGTGTCGAAGGATATCGACGGAGAGCATGTGAAGTGCATGCTACTTTGCATTCCTGTACATGTCTGAATGGGGTTGATTGCGGGAAGACGGGAGTGGTCTTCCCTACATGGTCGAGGCATTCGCTCACATGGGGCGTGACGAAAATAATGTTGCTAGAATAGGTCTTTAAGTAGGGAAGCAGCCTTTCAGATTCCGATACAGAACACTTAGGGGAGGGTTTTTGGTTCCAGTGGGTTGTGAAGCCATGTGTAGCCATGACCTTGACTCTAAACCCATCTTCCAAGCACTTGCAAGGTCAGGCTACCGGTGCATCCTTGGCCACCGGGCATGCAGGAAGAGTTGACAGGTGAACATGACTCCTACACCTACACTGAGGTGGAAGCCAGGTGTTTTGCACGGGGAACCAAATACATACCAGGTACTTTGGGTGTTTTGGTAAAGCCGACGCCCCTGCAACTGCGGGTCGCGGAAAACAAACTTTGCTGTAGGATGCTGTAGGTATAGGTGGGGCTAATTAATGATCGTGCAGCTTATCTCATGAGCCGTATGTAAACGCACGAACGAAGGTCTTACCAGGGGCTTGATAGTGAAATGCACGCGTCATTCCATAATTGCTCAGCAGTACTGGCAGCAAACAAAGGCGCGCAGCACGCTTACAGAACCCACCCATATGCTGCCCGGAGCTTGAGCCTTGGCAAGCCCTATTGTAGGCCCTCCTCGACCCGTGTGTTGTACTTTGATACAACGGCCTAGCAGCAGCTTTTTCGTTAAGTTGTTTATCAGATATCAGTATAGTAGGATTTCCCACAGCCCTATTCTAATTGTCAAATCCCGGAGTTTTGGGCATCAGGGGTCCGGCTCCTTCAGTCCAGACGCCTGGTGCACAACAGGCAAACCCCGGGAATCTGAAAGCCCAAGCCGCAGAGGACCTTGACTTTAGGGTGTAGGGTTTAGGGTAAACCCTACACCCTAAACTTTAATGTCCTTATGCCATACACTGCCATACACCCTAGAAATCCCTAAACCGCAGATCCCACGTCGACACCGCTTCGCAAGGCCTTGGCCGGCTACGTTGTAAACTACCAGGCCCCCCGGGAAGCTTTCAGAGTTTGGGCTGTAGGGGTGGTTTGAGGATTCATGTTTCGAGGTTTTGAGGCTGTTAGGGCTTATAGGGTTCATGGATCTAGGGTGAGGGCCTGTTTGAAGCCCGGGTGCAGGGAGGCAGCTAAAGTAGCTAAAGCTTTCATTACACCCGAAAACAAAAACCGAGTCGAGGGCCCGCCGGTCTTTCCAAGAAGTATCCTGCACATTTTACTTGTATGTGTCTTCGGAAATTCCCATGTCAGATTGTCGAGGCGATTGAATTTCAGGTATTGGTCCCCCCCGCTGACTATTGGTTGCTGCACGTCGAATATCGGATCTAGAATCGTTACGTTTTTTATGTCGGAATGAGGGATGTGAGCTTAGGGGCTGGGTGGGGTTATGGGACCAGGCTTATTCAGGTGCAGGCTCAAGAAGGATCGCAGCCCCTTCGTCGCATAGGCATGTCGACGATCGCAGACTACAGGGCACTCGCGCGTTATGCTTAAAATCCAAACCTCTAGACTCTGGACCTTAAAACTGCCTGGCATGTAGAGCCTCGAGAGTGTAAGGAAGCCCCCTCGAGTTCCGCATACGGCTTAGGGCTTACAGGGTGATGGGGTCATACTTTAGAACTAGCAAAAATTTCACCTTGTACTTGCAGTTGAAATCGTTAGTCAGCCTTGGTATCGTAAGATCACGAACTGTAGCCAGTAGTGCTACGGCCCTACGGCTTGGCACAATGCTGCTGCTTTCTGTCACTTCTCCGGCCGACTTCCCAAGCCGGGATGCAAAACCCATGGGCTGATAGGGCTTTTGTCTCCTAGCGCTTAAAGTGGGCCACTATAGTTTGCGGCCTCCTTCGAGCTTGCTGCATAGAAGGCCCACACGAACTCTGGGGAAGCCCTCTTCGCTGTCTCGAGCTCCCCGGATGCAGTTTGGTCCAAGAAGTCCTGGTAGTCAGAGTTGAGTTCGGAGTTGCTGGTCGGCCCGGAAGGCTTGATTCAATAGAGGAGAATTCGGATAGCCCTTCGTTTGATTCTGCCCGGGGGCTAGAGTAGGGCTAAATGCTGGGATGTTTGGGGCGTTGGCTGCCACGTTTCTTAGAACATCAGACCTTGGGGAGGGCTGTGAACCGATAGCAGCTCGCACTAAACCCGAAGCCCTGAAGCCCCAAACCCCAAAACCCTAACCCTTAAGCCCGAACCCCGCCCGGAACGCCTCAATCCCATGAACTTAGTAGACCTCGAGGAATCTTGGATGTGTTTCACCTCAAACGACCACATGCTATATGCCCTAAACCCTAAAGCCCTAAAGTCCTGAAGTCAAGCTCGAGGTTTCTCCGACGGCTTGGTGTGGCTGCGCCTGGCTCACATCTACATAGGCATCGCAGGGTTTAGGAGTTCAGGGTGTAGGATGTTCAGGGTTTCGAGGTTAGGGCTTTAGGGTTTTAGGGGTTAGGGTTTAGAAGTGTAGGTTGTAGGGATTAAGGATTTTGAGGATTTGGGGGTTTAAGGGTGTAAGGTCTAGGGCTGCCAGCGGCGAATTCTTCAGATCGCCACATTGGCAAGACCCCTGATGTTGAATTAATATGCCAATTCTAATTTGCGCGGTTCCTTATTATAAATATAGTAGAATGGGCCCCCAAACCCTGTTCTGCAGATGAAGGCGCCTATATTATGGCTAGCGGCTACCACCGCAAAAGAGAATGACGACCCTAAGCAGCCCCAGGGTCGAAACCCTGCGTTCCGAAAGAGTCTGAACCCTAAACCCTAATTTTCTTTTCCTAACAAGTCATATATATATATATATATGTATGTAAAACTTGGCTTTCCTAAAATGCCCTAATGAGAATTAGTAGTCTTTCCAGAGCCGACCTTCGTCAGCTGTGGGGTTTGAGAGCTAAAGCCCTGAGTGGAACCTGGTTGGTTTTGTGGACTTTGCCAAAAAAGAGCGCCTTAATAATACTTCGAATAGGGTCTCGAGATATATAAGAATAGTTATCAGGCTCCTATGCCTCTCATGCACCTTATCCTCTTACTGATATGCCCTTCGAAGCTATCCCTTCCTTGGCTGTCAGGATGGATCCCTACTTATCTACTTATAGGCTGTAGAACTGTCATACGTTTTCTCCCCCCCACTTAGAACCTAAATTCGCCAGTACCCTGTTTGTGCACATGGGGGGATAACTGCGCCTACTTTTCGGCTTGCTGTTGCCGGGGGGGGGCGGGATAATAACGTTCTTTGTTTCAGCATTGTTTCAAGGTCTACATTGCTGATCCGTGCTCATGCTGCTGCTGGATACTATGGGGATGGTGGTGCTGGATGATGTCTCATGTTTGCATGGGGATGGTGGTGCTGCATGTTGTATGTTCTACATGGGGATGGTGGTGCTGGATGATGTTGTCTGTGCGGTTGTATGTTGTGCATGGGGACAACTTCGTCAGATGTGCCTATCGCAGTTTCTTGCATCGGATGAACTTGCTCAGATGACAAATAATATAATAACATCTTGCCTCTATGGAACTGGAAAGTAGACATCTTCGAATCCTCGTAAAAAAAGACAAATTCCTATTGGTTGACAACGACTTCTCCATATTCCTTCAGAAATCTGCATCGGATCAACTTCGTCAGATGTGCCTATCGCAGTTTTCCGCATCGGATGAACGTGCTCACATGATAAATGCTCATGTTGCCTGTGTGGAAAGTGTATGCCTATCGCAGCTAACCGCATCGGATGAACTTGCTCAGATGAAGTACTCATCTTGCCTTTAAGGAAAGTGTACGTATATGTTATATACATATATATATATATTTTTTAGAGATTTTTTCTTATGTATTTACATATGTAGTAAGTCGACTCTATGGGCAAACTTAGACCATATCATCTCAGGACATATCACACATCATGTATCATGTCACGTTCTACCATGAAATGTCCTATGATCATCTCACACGACGAGTTGTGTCAGTGCATCCTCAGTCCCATGTCAAACCCTGTTTCGTGTGACAGGCGTGGTATTTTGGGTATGTTTCGTGATAATACTTTCACTGTACAACTTACCGCATCGATTCCTCAACAGGCCGAAACACCGGCTAGCGTTGCCAAAACCCCAGTTTCAAGCACGTCCCAACTGTACTTTGCAAAAAAACATGGCCTCTTTTACAACAACAAGCCTGTTTCATGTGGCAGGCGCAGTAGATTCGAAGTTCATGTGCCTTTCCAAAGGCGCAATAATCCCCCCATGAGGCTGTTTCTGGACCGTCGAAAGAGAGGGAACTTGCCTTCGAATGTAGGGTTTGGGGTTAGGGTAGAATGCCAAGGAGCTCAACGACTCCTAGTAGGGTGTAGACGTAGGTTTCAGGATTTCCGTGATTAGTTTGCCCGCTCATAGGGATTCGATTGCTGTGGGATTGGAGTTTACTATGCTGGCTTACGGAACGAGTGGCTTCGGTATTCGGAGGGCTCTATATACCCTGGACCTGCAAAAAAGCTCAATTGTACCAGACCCGCCCGGAGCCTAAATGCAACAGGCTTCAGTTTGGCAAACCAGAATCCCAGGCAAGCCCATATAAAATGGGAGTCGGGTTCGCCCTAAGAGCTCGTCCAAGCATGCGTGGCAGAGAGCATCTGCCCAATTTTCGGGGCTCCCCTAATTTCTGAAACTCACGTGGCCAGGCTACGCGTGCTTGGGCGGGCTGGCAATTCAGGTATTCATCGGCATCCTCAAGTACAGCAACTCGGAGGGGAAGAAGTTTAGGGTTTCCGTTGCTTTGGATTTCTATAGGTGTGGCTTGAAGGATATCTTGGGTTTGCATGGGTTGCGGTTTGCCTCAATGAATCTCGCCTGTAATTGACACGGAGGCCCCACTGCCAGTTCCAGCCATCACCACTACAAGTACCACCAACACTGCCATCACTTCGGCGAAACTGCCATCACAGCAACACATCCTTCTGCTGCTGCTGCTTCTTCCGCTGCTGCTGTGACCGCAATTGCTCGTACTTTTTACTAGTACTTACTCCTCACTGCGGCCTCTTCTGCTGCTGCTAGTGCGGCTACAACGACGGCCGAATGCAAGTAGTGCCACTACTACTCGCTATAAGGATGCAGACGAAAGGTTATCGAAACACAAGCAATAAGAAGAAGTGTGTTAATCGTAGTGCTACTTTGTGATGCTACCTGTATCTTGAGGACATCAAACTTCTAGAAAGCTGGAACGGAATGTGTTCCTCGTGAGTTTCAGCAGCGGCTCGTAGGAATTCTTGTTGACGACAATGACGACAACGATGGCCAGTGGTCAATCCACGAAGCGGTCGGCAACCTTGCTCCTTGGTCCATAGTGAAGGGGTCAGGGCTAAATCTGTCTATCGAGGTGTTCAGATTTGGCGCCTTTGCTTCCTCTTCCGTGGGACCCATATCTTGGGGCCAATTTTGTTTTATCGGGGTTTAATGTTCATGAGGAAGCCATAAGCTTGCAGACCTCAATCCTGGTGTCGGGCACGCCGCAGCAGTAGGACGGAGCATCTAGTCCTGGCTTCTCCGTAAGTTCTCGGAAGACGTGAGTACTGTTGGGTTTCCGACGCGCAAAACACTTTGACCAGGTCTGCCGGCAGGTCTATCAATAGCTGCAGAGTTCTACAATCAAGTCTGTCCGAGAGTGTTAATCTGCCGGAAGCAACTACAACCTGCACAGCTGCGTCCTTTAAGCTTGTTTGCGGCTGTGTCGGCATGGGCTCGGCTGATGATTCTTTGATGCTGCATCTCTGTGTGATCAAAAGACCTCCCAGTCATTCATGCCAGGAAAGAATAGCAAGACAAATATGCCCAAGCCTCTTCCAAAAGCTACGCTCCCCTCTCACCAAAAGGACCTCAGCACCAGGATGCCAAAATCTTTCAAGCCCAAGGCCCTCCGAGCCAACCGCCCAAAGCATTTTAAGCCTAAATCTGAAAGCCGCCAAACCTACGATGCCTGGTTCCTAGGTCCCATAAGCAAACATCGAACACCAACCCACAGCCATCACCCAGAGTGGTGGCTACCAGCACTCGCACGAGGTTTACAGCATGGCCATGCTGAACCTCATGACGGGTGTTTGGCTGTGGAAGGCGGGTCAGATGCACTGAAGAAGGCTTGATAGCACTGGTTCGCAGACATGGGACTTTCCGAACACTAGGGTACCTTAATTTGGGGTCCTTATAATGAGGATCCTACTATTTAGGGTACTATATTAGGATCTTCGGAAACCCCCACATGTAGACATTTGCAGCCTGGCTGGGAGGCCTATGGGAGAATTTCTCGTGCTGCATTAGCTGAGTACGTGACGGTTTGGCTGTATTTTCAGCCTATTACGGTGGCATGACCTCTTATTGGGAACAGGGAGCCTATCAACTATGCCTGAATTGAAGCCTTATACTGCAAGTTTCCTCCTGCATGCCCCCATCCTCAGATCTTGTTGATGATGATGATCTAAGATTCACACGGAAAGCTATACCCTATAGGCCCTAAACCCTAAACCGCATCAGCCATCACCGGCTGTGGCTCCTGAGCTGCAGGATTCTCAGCACTTCTCTCGTCTGATGTCGCCACAAGAATGAATCGCCTACGACTCCAAATAGCCCGAAGCAGGTATTATTTATGTGTGTCTCTGTGTGTGTGTGCGTATACGTATATATATATATATATGTGTGTGTGTGTGTTTATTTATTTATGTTTTTATTTATTTGTTATTCATGTACATATATATACATACATATATTTATATAGATAGATAGATAGATAGATAGATAGATAGATAGATAAGTTTGCAGGCTTTCGAGCCCAAAGCACGTACTATTTGTATACGTGGAGTCGTAGGCAACCGAAGTCGTTGTTATGTCGGCACAGTAAGACTGTCACTGGCACAGCTGGTCCTGTGGCTGAGGCTCTTCAGATTCTAAATCCTGGACCGGCAACCGGTAGCATTGAACGGCGCTAATCTCAAAACCAGCAACAAAGTGACCTGAGATCGTAAAGCCAGACGCCGAAAAGCCAAGTATTCAAGGGGAGGGTGCGACAAAAACAACATCCATTGCAGAAGTCCCTAACCCAGTAAACCTTAAAGCTGTTTCCAGGAGTTCTCGCTCCCGGTCCGCGCCATCATCACCCTCACGCTGATGCTTGCCTTTCTAGTTGAAAGCTGTGATGGGGGTTTAGGGTTTAGGGGCCGTGATTCTGAGTTTGGGGACGGGTGCCCTGCACCCAAGTTTCAGGGTGCACACATGCCACATGAGGTTGTATTTTGAGGGGAGGTCTTTAGATTAGTGGCTTAGCCTGAAAAACCCTAAGAAGTACAATGCGACGATAACTTTTGAATGTATAGTGCATGAGTACTATGACGAGCCCTATTAGGATTACTGCTACTAGTCTTAAGTGTTCCTACATGTACTACTATTATTGGTACTTCGACTGTTCTTGTCAATTGGTGCTACCCCCACTCCGATTGCTACAACTATTGCTGCCGCTACTGCTACGGCCTATGGCTGCTTGCTACTACCTATTGCTACGTGCAAGCTGAGACTTTAAAAGAGCTTCACTTGTAGAGCTGTTGCTCGCCGAGGATTCAGAGGCTGCACTTGTGCAAGCTAAGGCTTGAGAGACTGCACTTGCTTGTGCAGGCTGCGCCTCTGCAAGCTTAAGCTTCTAGATCTTGCTACATGCGAGGCAAGCTGGGTCCAAAACGATAGCAACAACGATGACTGTGGTTTGACAGAGGTGCCTGTCGAAGGATATGAGGAGCTAAGCCTGTTCCCGATACTTGTCACAAGTTTTGCAACTCTACATGGTGAATCTGAGCCCAGCTGCTTTTTTGCTTCCAGGCATATGCGAAACTGACATGAACAGGCCCTTGCGTAAACTTGACCAGACAAACCGCTGGGTCGTTCTAATCTGCGGCCTCAGAAATTGGAACAAGAATGATGAGTGCTGGGATGCTCCATCCTTCACTTCTAGGTTTTACTGCCGAACCGAACGACCTTATATGTACAAATCTTAAAACTCCAGCCGAAACCGGCCGTAAACCCGAAACCAGATGCCAAAAAACCGTGCCCTGACTCTGACGCCATCCTCATATACAAAGCGGAAATCCCTACCCTGTCAGCCCCCACAACCCAGGGACCCAAGCAAAAGCCAGACGCCCAGGATTACCAGTGTCGCCTTCGGGCCGCGCTGGGATGGAACAAGAGGCTCATGACTCTGCGGGTTTCTGAGCTCTGTGGTAACAAATAACACTCAGTCAGACTCTACGAAGCAGAGGGTCATGGTAGTCAGAGCCAGGGCTTCAGGAGATATCAGATTTTTTATTTTTGGGCTTCGTGGTCGCAAGCTCGAGGTCATCTCTACATATCCATTCGGGTGTAAGAAGAACGGGTTACGAGCTGTGTTCGGGTTGATTGGGGCGTTAGTTTTAGGCCAATTGTGTTGGGACATGTCGTCTATAAGAACAGTATAGGGAACTCCAAACGTTGAACCACGCGAAAAGCACCCTTTACATGGGTCTCAATGGATATCACCGCTGCGCGGGCGAGGCCATGATGAGGATCCCTATTTTTAAACCCCAATGACAGCGTGGGGCGGGTGGAGGTGGTGGTGAGCCTGGTGGTGGGGAGAACATGGGGCCGTCGGTGTCAGTGAGGCAGAGCTTTGGGGGTGGAGGGTCGGGGGCCCGAAATCCGCCATTTCGTCGTGTTTTTGGCTCGATTTTGAGGGGCATCCAGTCAATGTGCTTGTTATAGATTTTTTCGCAGTTTTCCTACAGGTCTCGGGGTCGTGAATCCGCAAAACAGGGATCGAGGGCAGGCAAATCCCAAGCCTTATCGCTGAAGCTCTAAAGTTGAGCCTTGCACTGCCCTCTATTAGGGGTTACCTGAAAAAGCCAAGTAGCCCAAAATAACAGACTACTATACCCTAAAGTAGCCCATAATTGGCTCAAAGTAGCCCCTAAATACAGCCTACTGGCTTTCCAGGTAGGGTTTAGTGAATTTGCCAAACCCTAAAACCCTAAACCCCTTTGAGGAACCCTATAGATCCCTTTAAGGAACCCTTTAAAGGGTCCAGCTTAGAGACCTGCGGTGCTTGCTTGGGCTTTCGATGCGGGAGCCAAAATCGCTGAAGCCCAAACCCACTTTCGGTTCAAGTGGTTTCATGTTAAAACAACCCTACATCATCGAACTAAAAGAGGTTCTGCGACTTTGCAGATTGAGCCTAAGCCCTTTCGATCCCAAGACAAAACCTGGATGCAGGCTTCCTGAGCAGCGAAGCGGAGAAGCCCAAGAAGAAAAAGAAAGCCAAGGCCCTGAGCACCGACAAAGGCGTGGCACGAAGGTTTCGGCGCTTGGACCTCGCCCAGCTACCCTCTATCGTTATGCCGCCCTCAGCACCCACTGTCGTGTATGGGCTCCGTGAAGGGCCTATCGTACTAGGCATTCGGGTATTTTTTTATCAAAAAATGATAACGGTAATGGTAGGCCTAAGTAGCAATAACCGAAATACCAACAATTAGCAATAACCAAAATACCAAAAATCTGACGACGACGACTACTACCACGACGACGACGACGACGGCTACTACTACTCCTACTCCTACTCCTGCTACTGCTGCTGCCACTGCTACTACTACTGTTACTGCTGCTGCTGCTGCTGCTGCTGCTGCTGCTGCTAATACTAATCATCACAAAAACTGTAATAATACTACTAGTGATGTTTCTGCAGTAGTATTCGTACTGCTACTATTATTTGACCTATTGGTTGAGGTTGAAAGTTTAGGCTTTAGCAACCAAGTGTCTCATGCCGGAAGGACGGATTTAGGCTGAGATCTCCCGTCGGAATGTGCAGACTGCCAACAACGTGTGCACGTGCGCAGACCCTGCATTTAAACGAAGCACCCTAAAGCCAAGCCTAAACCCTAAATCCCTTGCTCAGACCTCCGATCGCCATGCCAGCCTTGTGCGAGTGTGTGAGTTGAAATCCCTTAAGGCCGTAGTTTGAATCCCTTATCGGGCGACGCCATGTGCCGCAAGGTGAGGGAGAAAATGGCCTTCGGAGTGAGAGTCGAAAACCCCCAAACCCGGAAAAGTGCTAAGCCGTGTGGATTGCAGTGAGATGACCAGATGCTGAGAAGTAAGAAGAAGGCAAAATAAAAGATCAAGGCTTCAGGAAAACATGAGAAAAACAATTTTTTAAGAATCAACAAACCGACCGGAGGTGGCGAAGCGACGCTGCGGACGCTGGTTGGACGGGCCTGAGCTCGGGGTGTTGGGCCGTAGGGGTTTTACGGCTTTGGGGTCCTGGTTTGGTTTCGGGTTCGGAGGGCTTTTAGCGAATCAGGGTAGTTTCCTTAGGCTACATAGGGTTGCTGTTTTTGACTTTACGAATATTGTATGCAGCAAGTATTGGGTAATGCTTGTTTGGCTTCTCTA